GTTGTTGTATTGAAAATACTTACAGAAGGACTCGTTTTTCAGGCAGGAAGGGTGATGGTATTTTACAACGGACTGTAAGATGCATGCTTACCTGTAGCGACATAGCTTCGTACGGTGCTGAGTCAACACCTAGGGTCATGTTTAACATCTGCTGTCTTTTCAGCTCATCTTAAAGAAAACCAAGAGGTTTCTGCCGCATGCAGTGCGAGATGGAAAAATCGCTCTACACAGGATGACTGAGGATGTTTTTAAGCAAGATGTGCACACCATATTAGGATGAACTTTATTTTTACATTGTTGTGCAATCCATTCATAAACTTAAAAAGAAAAAACAAACATGATTTAATTGTTGTCCCAGAAAAGATGTCTGTGATGGTACCAACTGCTTTCTCTAAGGGTCACCTGCTGAAATAATTTGTGACTTGAGCAAAATGCCCCACGTGTATCTTGACAGCGAGAAAGGATGACACACATCCCGGTGATGCTCAGCCTCCCACCTCCTGTGCCAGGGCGTGAACCACAGGTGCCCACAGCTGCAACCCTGGGACGGGCTGGGATCCCGAGAGCGCAGTCTCAAGAAAGCTACATGGGGCCACAAGCTTTCCAGGAGCATCTGCTTCCCAAACGAGTTCAGGGCAGCCTGGCTCCAGGCTCCTCCAGGGAACAGTGTATCTTTTGGGAACACTTATTCCATGACAAGTTTGGAAACAAAACACAAAGACTGATGAAACCTCACTGACCAGAAGCCAATCCAGCAGAAAGTTGGGAACACAGGGAAAGACTCCCCCCACTTTAGGGACCCAGCCCGGTGACAGTCTGGAGGTGGGGGTCCCGAGTGGCCTGCAGAGAGAGGGCACCCTTCCCACCGGCTCTACCCAGCTTGGCTCTGTTTCCATCAGTGACTGCCCTTCGGGAAGGGCGACCTGGTGTCAATCAGCCTGCCTGCATCTTTTCTGGAACAACCTGGAGTTTACAGTTAGATCCTACGATTGGTACAGAGGGTGAAGAAAAGCCGACATACTTAATATGTTATCACTTTACTTCAACTATTTGTCAACAGTAACACTGAGAGAGTTTGCAAATACACAGAACACAAAGTGTGGCCTCGTGCCTGACGCCAGAGGACATGCAGTACAATTCGATTGTTCCTTGTCATCACAACGCCCTTTAAACCACAAGACAGAGAACGCCTCGGGAGCGGGACTCTGGAGGGAAACCAAGGAGTTTCGGGGTCCGCGGAACCGGGGAGCCTCCCACCAGCCCGGCCTGGACCAAATCAGACACGCCCGTGCTTTTCGTTTCTCTCTTTCTGAGCAGATGAGAGAGAAGGATGACACGGGCGGGAAGATAAAGGCGGGCAGGTTAAAGTCACACTTCTTTCAAAAAAGGAAAAAAAAAAAAACCAAAAAAGCTAAACTCTAGATTGCTGTACTTGCTCTCTATGGAGATTAACAAAGTGCTCGGTTTGCAGATTTGCTGGTTTGGTGACCTGGATGATGCGACAAAGGGGGCGGTGGGCGGGCAGAGCCCCGGCCGCCGCCAGGGTGGGCCCCCCTCCGTCGTCCCGCTGCCGCCTGTCCAGAGCCCCGCGCCCGCGGAGTCCCGCGCCAGCTTCGCCCTTTCTGGAAGAGCTCCCTGCCCGGCAGGTGCCGGGGGCGATCCTCGGGTCCACGGCTTAGGGGCACAGCACCGGCTGCTGCAGTGGCTCGAAGGGCTGAAACTACAAAGTACGGCCCGTGGGTGACTCAGGCACAGAACCAGGCGCGCGCGGCGCCGGCCCCGGGGGAGCGGATGGTGTCGCCACAACATGGAAGCGACAAGAGCACAGCGGAGAGTCATGTGATGCCCCGGCAGCCGCCTGACCGTGAGGAGGTGGCGGGGCCGCACTGGCGGGGCCGGGCACTCGTCGGCTGGGGTCAGATGGGCCACGGCGATGACACGGGGGTCGTGCTAGCACACGGCCACATGGAATCACGATGATCACGGCCACCACTCAGAAAACAAAACGGGAAACACACACACCGCCCTGGGTTGCTAAACGCTAAGAGAAGCCTTCGGGTTCCGGGGCGTCTGCCTGCTGCGGTTGGAAACAGGATGAGGGAGCTATGGTGCTGGGGACACAGGATGAGTTGGTCGTTTTCATGTTGGAGATGAATACCTCGGCCGTGTATGGGGCCCCCCGCAGAGGGCTCTGAATGAGTGCGCATTAAATCAAATGCATACAGAAGAAACATGGATCATGGAAATTCACAGTTATTGCAGCCATTAAAGTGTCTAAGAATCTGTAACCAATAGTCCAAGGCAACCAGTTCTTAACTAGCTGTCTCGAGTTGCTACTGTAGAGTTTACTGCATTTTATCTATTTGCTTACCTGAAATAACAGAGCAGTTATAATACTGATTACTTATGTTAGGCTTCTGTTAATAAAATAAGGATTTATACAAAGCAATATCGGACTTTTAAAACAGTTAGATGCTATGTTACTTGGCACAGTTAGTAATGATCGTGTAAAGATTTCCGCCAGTCCTAGGGGGGCTTCTCTTCTTTTTATGAAAATACGGAAGAATATGAATTTTGTCCCTAGCATTTAAGTTTTTGGTCTACCCTCTCACACGTTTGTCTAAGGTACTGTCTTCCTATCAGGTAAGTGGAGCTCCTTGTAAAGTCTATATTGCTAATTTCGTGGACTGAAACGTTTGCCTTTCACACACAAATACTACCTATACAGTATATATATATATATATTTATATATTTATATATTTATATTATATAAAGTTTACTTACGTATTTTCATCAACCATATCAGGTCTACTTAATTTTTGCCCATTGTCAATAAAAGAGCAATAATGCAGCAAGTTTTGGGTTTTTTGTTTGGTTCTGTCTCTGGTTTTTGTGTCGTCTCTTCTTTTCCTAGGCTGGGCTCTCATCTGCGTGTATAGTGAGGGAGCAGAGAGCTGAGGGCTGCAGGGGGGTCAGGGCGGGGAGCTCAACAGCTGCTTGGCCGGCGGCACTGTTTCAGGGCTGATGGTGGCCGAGGCCCACCTCCCGGGCTGAGGCGGATGGAGCCCGGGGCGCCACCGCTAAATGAAACTGGGGACGGGGTGGGGGGGGGGGTTGTTCCCTGTGACACAAGCCCCGGGGCTTGGGGGGCTCCATCCGGGCCGGGAGCAGACGGGGAGGTGGAAACAGAAAGTGCCCTGGGTCTGGTCTGGGGCTGCCACCCCTGGGCGCGCCTGTGTGGTGTGCACTTGTTCTGAGGGGCCTGGGGCCCCCGCCCAGGCTGTCTACACAATTGTGCTGATGCCGCTGGGTTTGGCCTTGCTGCTGGGGAGGGGTGGCGGGGCAGGGGGCTGCCCGTGGTGGTGCACGGCATGGCCCACGTGGCCCGGGTGGCCGACGTGGGCCGAGGGCAGCGGCGGGTGGCTGTGCGCGTGGGCCCCGTAGGCGGGCTGCCCCCCATGGGGGCCGTGGTGGTACTGGTGTGCGTGCTGGATGTGCTGGGGCGGGTGGTAGTGGTGGTGGTGATGGTAGGGGGGCGGGTTCTGCTGGAGGGGGCAGTACTGGCCGTGATGCCCGTGCACTGGTGCCTGCAAGGGGCCTTCTGTGGGCCCCTGGGGGTGGCCGGGCGAGGGATGAGGCGGGTGGGGGGGCGGCTGGGGAGGGGCTGGGGGCAAGTGGGCCTGGGGAGGGGGCTTCCCTCTCTTACTCCCAAATAAGGAGCCCAGGAGGGAGGAGGAGTTGGGCATGGCCTGGTGTGGGCGAGATGGACAGTCTCGTGTTGATGTAGCTCTCCGGCGCATGTGAGGACTGCTAATGATGGACCCCTAAAAAGGAAATTCATAGAAACCAAAATTAAAAGAGCTTAGAGCACTTACATCAGAATGATTCTTAAGAAATGTCAAAAAAAAGTTCGCCCACTGACTGCTAAGCCTTAGTTCAACTCGCTAGCCGCAGAGGCCGGGCCGTGTGAGTCTGGACTCAGGCGCCACCTCCAGACACTGCCGTGCAGGTCGGCTGGGGGGGCCAGGAGGGGGCCTTCGGGGAGAAAGGTTGGGGGGGGGGGGGACGCAGCCGCTGCGGGTCAAAGTTGACCTCTGCTCTTGGCCTGATGAGCACCCTGTTGCCGGAGGCGGCCGGAGCTTTGAGATCAGAACCGTGTGTCTGCGGGTGTGTGCTGGGTAGGGCGGGGCGGGCTAGCTGCGTGCAGGGGAAGGGCCAGTCCTGCCACCTCCTGCCCTAAGCTCTCCTGGGTCCTCTCAATGTCCGAGAGCGTGTGCTCTGCCTGTGCCGGTCCCGAGGTTTCTGGGGAGGTGGTGAGGGGGACAGGAGGGGCTGGGCACCGCCCAGGCATTTCACTGCGGCTACCTACTGCAAACCAAACACGGGAAAGGAAGGAAACAGAAAGGTCTGCAAGCTGAGGTTAGATGTGAACAGGGATATCGAGATGGCTGGAGGATGAATGAAATCTCATGAAATCCACACTGAATTCCTCTCGCTCTCATGGCTCTCCTCCCCCGAGCTAACTGAGCAATTCCGTGGTGCCCTGACTGCAGACACACAGCAATCGAACCTCCAGGAAGGAAGCGATGGGGATGGCGGAGCATGGAAGTCCCGAGGTGGCAGAACCCGACAGCGAGGGGGCGGGGGAGGGTGCCCGGCGGCCGCCGCCTCCGGCCCAGGATGAGTGGGAAGCCGGGGTGTTAACCATGCTCGGGACCGCGGGGATGGGTTAGGCGGACACTAAACCACAACATCCAGACCCACCCCCTCCGTTGCAGCGCAAACAAGCGGTGAGGGGCATGGGAACGCCAGGCGGGCGGCATGCGCGGACGAGGCAGGCGGGGGGTCTGAGCCTCTGTGCAGAAGGGGAGGAGGAGGAGCAAAACAAAAAGACACCAGGAGGCGACACACGACAGCCAGCTGGACGGGGGCTTCCGACTTACTTCCACATTGCTCTCTAGCGATCCCGCACTGCTGCGACGCCCTCGCTTCCCTGCCCAGAACATGCAATACCACAGGTTAGACGCGACACGGGGCGGGGCGCTGCCGCCGGATGGCCCGGGGGAGCCGGTGGCAGGGCAGTAATGAGTTAACAAGACAATGGGGTTCTTAAAAAGCCAAAAAAAAAAAAAAAAACAAAAAAAACAAAAACTTTTTCAACCAGCCCAACTTTAACCCCCTCTCCGGGACCAGGAGCCTGGGGGGAGGGGCCTCTGGGGGGCTGGGGTGGGCACACAGGCCCGGCTGACCCCGAGGTCCAGGCAGCCTCAGCCGCCTGCCCGCGGGGACGGGCAAGGGCAGCTCCTCCCACAGCTAAGACGAGCTAAGCGTGGTCCTGCCCGGCCTGACCTTCGGTGGATTTCACATACGTATGTATGGACATACGCACGCACACGCACGCACACACGTCTGCCTCCCCGGCTGCTGGTGGGCCTGAGTTAGGAGACTAAACTCCACATCCTCCTTCTCCTGGTGGAGCAGAGGGGCCGCACCCTGGGGCCATGTTTGGTTTGTGCAGTGTCTGGCCAGGGACAGGGATGCTGGGACTTCCTCCCAGCCCAGGGCCTGGAGTCCTCTGTGGTCACGGCCCACTGGGATGCCACACGCGTTCTCCAGTCGTAAGCCCTCACTGCCAACGCCTCTGTGTCCCCCGCACATGGCACGTAGCAGGCATGCAACCTGTGTTGGCTGTGCCAGAGGAGACTGAGTCTTCCTCTTGGTTCTGGACGTCCAGCGCCTGCCCTGGCCCCCGCAGGTCCCCCGGACGACTTCTCCAGGCATTTCTGCAGGACACCAAGGCTGAGGCAGAGAAGAGGCTCCAAGACGTTCTTCCAGTTTCCACCTGTGCAGGCCTGGCCAAGCCCCACAGTGCAGGACGGGTGTCCCGCTGTCCACACCAGGAGGAGACGGAAGCTCTGGCCGATGGACTGACCGGCTCAGTCCTCACAGTGAGCAGGTTCACACCGTGTCTGCCCGTCCACCTGAGGCGGGAAATCTTGGCCACGCTGCCTTCTGAGCTGGACCCGGGCTGGACCCAGGAGCCTGGAAGATGGAAGCTGCTGCCTCGTGCCACCCTGTGGCCCACATCCCGGACCCGCGCTGGGTGGAGAGGGTGTGTCTGGATCCTTCCGGCCTCATGGTGGCAGCTGCGCGTGCCTAGGACAGGCCCTTGGGCCTGGGCTCACAACGGCAGGCTCAGGGGAGCTCCGGTGACTTTGCCTTGCCTGCTGACCCCCAAACCTGAGTTCCAGCTGGGAGCCTGGGGTCCACTGAAGGCCGCGCTGGACCCTGGTCTCAGAGCCCACTCGGAACTGCGCCACACAGTGGATGAGGCTGCTGAAGACCACGGACCACCAGGCGGGAACTGGCCCTCGTTCCCAGCTGAAAATGACCCTTCCCTTCCTCCTCTTTCCGCCGGTATGAGAAGAGGGGTGACCTTTCCTTCCTGCCTTCGGTCCCAACACGGTGGCCCGGGGACATGCAACAGAATTAGAGTCCAGCCTCCAGAAGGGGGGCTCTGCAGCTGGAGGCGTGACCCTACCTGGCACGCCGTCCACTCTTTGCCTCAGTTTCCACATCTGTCCACTAGGCATGGCCCCCGCTCCCTGGGATGGCTATGCTCAGACCTCTGCTGTCCTTGGGGTGTCTCAATCTGCACTCTAGCCCCTATAAGGCTGGGGACACTCCTCTGACTAAGGACCAGGAACAGAGAGGGAAGACAGAGGCCCCGCCGGGCTAGCAGCGCGCTCCAGCCGGCCTGCTTCTCCCGACAGGACTGGGCCAGGCCCGGGGCTGGGGGCTGTGGCTTCATATGCTGCCCCCGCTGGAGCTGAACAGGCCCCCCTCCTGCCCGCCGTGGGCCAAGACTCAGGAGAGCTCTAACTTGGATGTCTTGGAGTGATTCTGAGTTTCTCAGACTTCACCTTTTCAACTTCTCAACTCAGCAGGAGATACGGGATGTCCCCGCAGGAGTCCTCTGCACTCCAGTCCCAGGCACGCCCGTGGACACCTGCCCACAGCAGACGCACGTGTGGGTGTTTGCACACCTGCATACCACCTACTGGCGGAGGAGGAGCCGGGCCAGCTGCTCCCACTCACGTATCCCCACCACTCCTTCCTTGCCTGCCCTGTTTGGGGGTCCCCCCCAGCCATCTCCGGCTCCTGCACAGGCCTCAGGTGAGCCCTGCCTCAGCTGGCGCCTCTCAAGGGCCAGAGCAGGCCCTGCCAGCCCGGCCACGGACAGCTTGGGAGCCACATCCAGACGGGGCGCCCAGTGCGGCTCTTCCCAGCATTCCTGGCTTCTCAGCGTTGGGACAGCAGGCAGACAGGGCTCTGCCCGAGGCCTCGCACCATGGCCCTAGCAACACTGAGGGTGACAACAGCCAGCACGCAGGCCAGGCCCCACCCCCAACGCTCTGCGGGTATTGACTCTCACAGATTCTGGAGGGCAGCGCTAGTCCCGCCTGCATCTGGGGAACCCAGGCCCAGAGGTGTAACTCGACCAGGGCCCGGAGCCAAAGACCCCGGAATCGGCGTGCTGCGCGGCCCTCTGATGGGCTCTGCTTGGGAGGCCACCCCGAGCGTGGCCCCCACCCCAGGAGAGGCAGCCGCTGGCCCACTGGCTGCTACACGTGTGGAGCGCCCATCGTGGGACAGCAGGGGCTGCTTTGGAAACTGGCCGCCAGGAGCCGCCAGCTCTTCCCTAACAGGTGCAGGAGGTGGCAGTCTTCCAGTTGTGCCCCGGGTAACGACAGCAGACCCCGCGGGCCCGGGAGATGTCCTGTCCGTGGGGACTGGTGTTGGGCAGCTCGGCGGGTGAGGGGCTGGGGGCCTCGGGGTCCGTGGACAGTGTCCACTGTGACTGGCTGATCTGCGGCAGGAGCTAAGGCTCAGTAGTCGCACCTGTGTCAGAGGTCCTTGTGGGTCCTTGATCTCAGGCTGGCAGGGCTCTGGTGCCACTGAGGCGAGCAGAGGGCCCAGCTGAAGGAAGACCACGTGGAGACAGGGGGCGAGGCCTCGCAGCTCAGCAGGGGGGCCGGGCTGGGGGCCAGGCACACCCCCCCCCCCCCCCCGCCTCTAGGAAAGTCTGCCGCCCCTCTCTTCCTGGGCCGTCAAACCACGACTGCCTCCCAGATCCCAGAGGCTCGTGCCGGGCCGAGGGCACATCCCCGGGTGCTGTCTCCTGGATGGATGTGTGGTCGCAGGTCTGGGGCAGCTGCTCTGGGAGCGATGACAAGCCGGCTGCTGGGCGTCACTGTCCCGAAGGGAGCGGCTGGCCCTGAGCCTCACCTCTTCCCGACAAGCCCATCTCGGTCGGGGCACGGCGGGTGCGGGAGAGCTTTGCCCCGACCCAGTCCAGCACATTGGGGCACGTCTCCGGCATGTTCCGGCAGGCAGCTGGCATTGGCCCGTCTTCCTCTGGAGGTCGCAGGGGGGCTGTCCCAGCCTGGGGCTTTGGCGGTCATCAGGGCTCAAACACCCACCTTACCGCCTTTGGTGCAGGGGGCACTTTCCCGGGGATTCTCTTCACGGTGGTTTAGGACCTGAGAGGACTCGCTGCCTGGAGTCCTTCTCGGCTCAGAATCCCCAAACAAAAATGGCAACGGTAACGATAAACAGAAATCAGCCAGACCTCGGGGCTCCGCCCTTCACATGGCCATGCGCCCGGGCATGCAGCTCTGTCTGGCCCCTAAGCAGACAGTGGACGGCTGAGGCCACTGCTACCCGAGGGGGCTGGGCAGGACCCAGGGAGGCCAGAACCTGCCCCACTGCACAAACTCAAACACAGGCCCTGGGCCCCCAGCCTGCAGAGGCCCCGAGCAGTCTGGTTACGATTAGCTGGGTGTAACAAGCCACGGGGAAAACCAGTGGTTCTCAACCACAGCAATTCTGCCAACCAGGGGTGGTATTTCTCCCCCAGAGAGCACCTGGCAATTTGGGGGGACATTACTGGTTGTCATGACTGGGGGGTGTTACTGGCATCTAGTGGGCAGAGGCCAGGGATGCTACTAAGCGTCCTGCACAGAGCAGTCCCCACAGCCAGGAATGGTCTGGCACAAGATGTCAGCAGAGCCGGGGTTGAGAAGCCCTGCTTGACTCTCACGCTGGCCATGCAATTCGGATTTTCACTATGGAAAAAAAAAATGACAAGACAGAAACAAAGAAAAAAATCCAACTCAAAAAAAAAAAAAAAAAAAGAAAAACATTCTGGGAAATGAATAAGCTGAAGGGAGGGATGGGGTCATCAGCAGCTTCTCTACGGGGCCCAGAGCTGGTCAAGCGGTGATGCCTGAGGCCGGGGGCGTGGGCGAGGCCCTGGTGGGGAGGGGTCTGCTGGGCCCTGGAGAGGAGGAGGCCGGTCTCAGCCTGAGAGGGTCTTCGCCAGCAGAGCCGCGGTTACGTCAGGCTCCTGCGGCTGGGACAGCTGGGGCCTTGGGGTGGGAGCCTGGGGTCCTGGCACAGCCACGTGCCCCCGTGTCCGGCTCCCTCCGCTCCGCCGCAGCCCCTGAGCTTCCTCATGGGAGAAGCTGCCTGGCTAGATACGCCTAGTGGGGGGCTGAAGAGCCGCCGGCGTGCATCCCCTCACCCCGTGGCTCCTGGCTCCTCCGACTGACAGCGCTGGCAGGCGAAGCAGGCTGCAGCAGCGCTCCCCTCCCCACCCCCCCAGCCGAGGTCAGGCAGGGCCACCAGCAGAAGCTCCCTGCTCACTGATGCTCCACGCACGGCCCCCGCCCCAGGAAACCTGGGCGGCTCGAGGGGTGCTGCTTGCTTGCACGCACACTAAGAGGCTGGCAGCGAATCAGACACACACAGAAACAAAGAAACAACAACGAGAATCACGTTTCCGCCAGGGCTTTCCCCTGACGTCCCAGGGCCAGGTGTGGCCGCGTCTCTGGGCTGGACAGAGGCCCGGGTTTCCCAGGAAGGGAGACCTCTGTGGGGAAAGCAAGACCTGGGACAGTGGGAGACGGGGTCCCAGACACAGCAGCAAGGGCTTCATTCCATCTCATTCATCAGCATGAAGCACGGGGACGGGGCAGCAGAGTGCGGGGGACACACCCGCCAGCGGGGCCCGACGCACTCTGCGTGAGAGCGAACCTCAGAAAACAAATAAGAGAATAAGGTAAATAAGCAAGGGAGACCAGGGATAACCTCCCGGCTGTCCTGCCTGTGACCATTCGGCCCCGTTTCCTTTGGCTTTGGGGGACACCCTCTCCGCGTGGTCACATGCTGCTGTGGTTTGGGGACGGCCACCCAAGTGAGCTCCGTCCGAGCCCCTCCACTGTCCGAGCCTCCAACACAGCCCCTTCCGGCCGACGCAAGCCCCGCCGGCCACGGGCGGCCGAGTCCCGCGTGCGCTGGGTAGGGGGCGGCCCTGGGCCCGGCTCTTACCCGCTTCTGAGAGGTCGCGCAGGGAGCTGCTAAGGGCACTGCGCTTGAGGCCCTCGCCGCTGGCGTAGCTGTCATCCAGGCAGGCCCGACTCAGTGTCCCGCCGCCCGGCTCCTTTTTGAGGCTGGAGCACTGGGACATGCTGGGCCGCACGACGCCCTTCTGCTTCTCGAGCTCCGCTGGAACAGAGCCCGAGGGGCCCAGTGAGGGGAGGATGGCCCCCAGCCAAGGGTGGCTTGGAGAGGGCAAGGGGCTGGGCCCCCCCCGGAGGGCAACGCAGACGACTCGGGGGGCCCTCTGCTTAGGGTGGCACCGGGCTGAGCTGCCACCTCCTTCCAGGGGGCAAGTGAGGGGCAAGGTCGTCTGGGAAAGGGCAGGAGCGACGGCACCTGTGACCAAAGGGGCTGAAAGGAGACCCCGGAAAGGAGGCTGGAGAGGCCAGAGTGCCCGAGGTCTGCAGGAAGGTCAGTCACTTTCCTAGGAGGTGGATTTGCCCACGTCTGGAGAGGAGTTAACGCGGCCTGGCTGTGGATGGAGGCCAGGGGTGGGGGCACCCATGTACCTCCAGGAATGAGGCTTAGAGCCAGGAGAAGCGGGGATATCATCGGCTTTAATGAAAACCAGGGGATGGCCCTAGCCCTGACCCCTCCGGGTGGTCGGGTGCAGAAGACACAAATACCAACCACGGTCAAGTGCAAAGGGCTCAGGTCCAGGGCTCTGGACACGGGGTGACCATGGCTCCGAGAGGCCCCCCCCCCCCTCAGGGCACACAATGTAATTCCCCGGGCAGGACAGGCCTGGGCCTTGGAAGCCCGGCTCCCACCCAGAGACCCCTGCCCACCCCTCCTTCCTCTGTGCCGCCTCCCGTGACCTGGGCAGGTGGGCTGCCTGGTCACGTGGCCGTGGGAAGGCCAGAAGAGGCCGAGGGCGTCTCACCTCTGGGCTTACAGAGTCACTGCAGCCTGGCCTCTCACCACTGTCTTGGCCCCCAGATGGGAGGCCACGCCTGCACCCTGCAGGCCCCCGCCAGGCACCCGTGACTTACTCTCTATCCTGTGCTTTTCCATCTCCTGCACCTCCGCGATGGACTCCCGCAGGTCATCAGTGAATTTCTTCCGGTCTTGAGGATTGGGAGCGTTAAAGTTTATTAGCACTTTGATGTCTGCTCCGGGGACGGCGGATGTGAGCCGGATGCCGTTGGGGTAGTCTGCAGAAGGGGAGGAGAGCGCGGGCCTCAGGGCGGGCCCTGCCACCTCCTTTCTGGCTGGCAAAGGACCAGCGGGTCTCCATGCAGCCGGGGTGTGGGAGCACGCTGAGGCCAGGCTCCCAGAGGACGCATCCCTCCAGGGAGGAGAGGCTTCACGGTGCAGCCCGGAGGGACCACCAGGCAGTCTCTGCCTCCTGACCTGGGTCTGTGTTTGCTCCGTGTTCAAGTCGAGGGCAGATCCGACTGATCTGAGGCAAAGCCAGGGCCCTCGTTCTTCCCCACCGGAAGGGCGTGGAGCCTGGACTCTTTAGGTCAGGATCCTTGGTCACTCGGCCAGGCGCCAAGCCTGGGAGGAGGGGGAGGTGGTGTCCCCGCTGGGGGACAGTCTTATCCAGTCACTTCGGACACTTCTCTCCTCTCCCGACTGGTCTCCAGGCCACCAGCTCCCTTGGGGTACACTGTGGGCACCCCACACCCAACAGAGCCTTCTGCTCAGACCTGCCCGGTGCCTCCTCCGTGCTCTCGGGGTCTCTGGGGCTTTGGCATGCCGGCAGCCTCTCTCCTCAGTGGGAATCGCGCATCCACCACTGAGTGTATGAAGGCTCTTGGCCCAAACACCAATCCTACCACGGTTCAGACCTGGGTCAGGGAGGGGACCTCAAACGCCTCGAGGCCTGTGTGGGTTTCCTCAATGCAGGAAGCGGGCAGGGAAAGACTGTGGCTGCTGACTCTGTGGAGGGTGTGCAGCCTGCTACTGCCCGCCATCCACCCAAACCTAGCTTTACAAGACGAGCCACGGATACCTGAGCCTTATGGGGAGATGTTAGTATGAGCTCAACGAATTTAAAATAAAGTTCAAATATAACATAACTGAGCTGCGACCGACCAGGGGCTGCCAGCTTGAGACCCCGGGTGCGAGGCATGTCCTACAGAAGGTCGGGGTCGGCTCTCACTAGCACTGCCTCCAGGGCTGAGGGCTGAGCCCCGGGAACCTGAAAGCGGTCTGGGCGCGGCCTCTGCCTAAGGACTCAGTCTGCCCGGGCCGCTGCTGAGTGGTCACTACCACCGTACCCCTTCCGAGAGGGGCCTGCCGGTCAGGACAGTGCGCATGGCACCAGCCTCCCTGGTGCTGCCTGGGAGAAATCAAGGCAAGCCCGCCCTTCCGGCCTGGGGTGAAGTGATGGCGGGGTCTGCATCCTGAGCTCCTCATAGGCATGTGAGAAAAGAGGAGGAGCTGGCAGGTCCAGTCCCGTTTAGCACAGAGAAGCCCTCAGGCACTGTGTTCTGGGATGGCCCAGCCACGGGTCCCTGGCACGTTTCAACCTGCAGAGGCAAGGCGGATGGGACAGGACCGCAGGACCTTGCTGCTGGACACGCCCCGATGCTCCATTGTGGCGGCCCTTCCCTTGGCTCCTCCGGAACATGGGGGGCAGCAGGACGTCCCCCACCCCACCCCACCCCAGGAGCACTGGCTCAGCCTGCAGTTCGAGGTCCTCCGACAGGGAGGGGACAGAGAGGGAGAGAGGAAAAGGGAAGGGTGTGGGTGGCGGGAAGGAACAAGCCCGAAAGGACCCGTCAGCGGGGTTGCAGGGGCGGCCAGCTCCCCTCCAGGATCCCCAGGCCCAGGACCCACTCACACCCAAAGGCCTGAACAAGCACCGCCCCTGGGCCACGGGTTGTCCTGGCCTTTATGTGAACGGCCTCATCTCATCCTGAGGCAGGCACTACCATCACCCCATCGATGGACCAAGGGAACCAGGCCGGAGAGGTCCAACAGCCAGAACACATGGCGCTGAAACCTGAGCGGATGGACCAGGGCTCTGCTCGTGACCTCTGCCTGCAGTCTCTCCGGCACGACCCTCACCTGATTGTTTGGCCATATCTGTATATCACCTGTGCCTTTCACTCGATGTTTTCCTATCAACATTTTATCGCTCTGCACTAAATTTAAAAATCTTATCACCTGCAAGAAGTAACGGTAAAAGTAAACCCGGTAAGTCCTACATACGATACTGAATTCTCCCTGGTTACCCCCAGCCAGCAACCTGCCCTCTGTTAGGAAAGTGGGAATTAGAACCCCGGAGAGGCCACCCTGGGGTCGTCCCTGATGGAGCCAGGAGGAAGAAGAGGGGACGGCGGAGGAGAGCTTCCTCGCTACACGGATGGACCAAGTGAGGCCGCCTCCTGCCACGGGGTGCAGACCATGTGCGGACGGGCCCAGGGACTCACTCACACTGGCTCTCGAAGAGTAGGACCTGCATGCCGCACAGGGAGAAGGACTGTCGGAAGCTGTACGTCACAGAGTTCTTCTTCTTCTGGAAGATCTTGGTGACCTGGGGGCAGCCAGAGACAGAGGCTGAGCCACTGGGCCCGAGCGGCCGGGAGCAGCCCTGGGCGCTCAGGACTCTAAGTGGGCCCTCAGTTCGAGTTCTCCTGTGTGAGGACCCTCCTGCGGTTCCAAGGTCAGGAGGCCCGCGGGGCGGGGGAGGGCCGATACAGGGACGGACACTCACGCCCGACATCCCCATGCACGGCCCAAAGGCACCGTGAAACCCTCTGAGAGATGAGTTCTACAGAGAAGGACACTGAGGCCAGAGGTCTGAAACGATCTGCTCAAGGTCAGGAACTCTGAAAGGACTTGAACCCACACATCTAGATTCCAGCCTCAGGAACCCGAGAAGAGCAGCTGGTCCTCAATCAGGTGGGGAAAGGGAATAGGGTCTTGGGCAAGAAGGGGGCCTGCAGGAGGCAAGAGCTCCAAAGGGCAGGCCCCCTGCTCCCTGCGGGAACATCTACATCTGTGCGACCTGTTTTGGGGCAAGAGCTCAACTTCCCTTTGGGGAGCCCACCTCTGCCACGTTCAGCCCATTAGTCCTGGGGCTGAGACTCAGGCCAGCGAGACAGCACCGCCCCCGCCTGGCCCCAGGGACGGGTTTGGGCAGCAGCGAGACCTCTGCTCAGTCTCGGGAAGAGGATTCCCCCGGCGGCCGAGGGGACAGGATTAGGCCCGGACCTGCGGAGGCTGACTCTCCCTTCCTGGATGAGCCTGCCTGAGGTGGGAGCCCGGGCAGCCGACACTGGGCGCAGCCGGGGCCACTCTCCCAAGCCGTTCTGGGGTCTGCACACCCAGCCCCTCACCCGTGGGGACCACGTACCACCAGGAGGTCATTGAACAGGAAGATTTCTCGCTGGTGCAGCCCAAGCTTCTGGGGCTTATTTGGGTCTGGAACCTCGAAGAGCCGGCAGTAGCAGACCAGGCGCCGGTGCGGCAGCGAGAGCACCTGTGTGGAGGGGCGGCGTCAGCTCCACGCACCCGTGGGGACGAGGGACTCCCCTACCCTGCCCTCCCTCGGGCCTCCGGAGGCCCCTGCTCCAGGGAGACCGCCTTCCGACTCCTCTCAGCACTGAGCTCGTGGAGCCCCCGCCATGAACCACGCGTATCTTCTGAGCCCCCAAAGCACCTGTCATGTGCGCCCCGAGCCACACACATAGGAGGCTGCAGAGCCCGGGCTTCCCCGCCCCCAGGCCCTCCTTCCTGAAGGCTCTCAGCCCCGACAGCTGGGTCTGGAGGAGCCCTGCAGGGTCCCGAGCCGGCAGTCACCACCTCGAGGGGCTGCTCCCTGCCCTCTGCACACGCGGCCGTGGGCACACATGGCCCTACGTGGGGCTGCTCTCCAGGCCCGAGCTCAGCGACCCACAGATGAGAGGGAGGGGACGCGGGCCCAGCCTGGTGCCCTCAGGGGGCAGCGCTGTCCGTAGCAGAGTGTGAGAAAGGAGGGCAGGACGCAGGGCTGGGGAGGTGGGCGAGGGCAGGTCACGGGCGTGCCGGGGGTCTCAGGCCTTCTGCAGGGGCAGCTGACCCGGCTGCCAGGGTGGGGTAAGGAGCAGACCACATGACGGCCAGCAGGCACAATACTGCCAGCCCTGGCGGCGAAAGGGACCCGAGAGGCACAGCGTGGGCTGGGTGGGGAGGGGGAGGCCTCAACGGCACACCAAGGTCACCTGTTCAGGTACAGGGTCTCGGGGCCGAGGGACAAGTGGGATCTCTGAGCTCAACCGGGCCCAGACAAGACGGGAGGGGACCACCTGCTCTGGGCCTGACAGCACAACCCTCCCGCGTGCTCTCAGAGATCTGAAGTGGAGATAACTGAAAATCAAATTTCTTATGGCTCTGGAAATTAACTCATGCAGCCAGAACTGTGGGTCTGGGAGCCACGAGCTGCGGGGGAGTGGGGATCACGGAAGGCGGAAGCCGAGGGGAACTCACACAGCCGAGCCCGTGGTGCAGGGATCCAATCTACAGGGGGAAGCAATGAACAAACAAGAAGAGATGTTAATGTTCCAAATACACATCTGGGCCCTGACAGAGACTCCGGGGTGACACCCCACCCACAGCGCCTCCCAGGGCGCCCCCAGTGGGCTCTGACGGAGAGCCCAGGCCGCCAGGGAGCCACTGCGCAGCCCTGGCCATTGGTTTATTAAGAACCTCAGATTCTCGTCAAAGGGGACCCAGAGAGAAGGGTTGTGACTCCCTTAAAAAGCCCCAAACCTGACATAATCCACCAACCCCACCTGGAAGGGAACAGGTTCCAAAGGCACTGCGGCTACTGGCCAAAGCCGAGCCAGCAGGGCAGCCTGGGGTCGCGGGGCGGGTGGGTCTTGGGCACCCCGGGCCTCACGCGGCACCCCCCATGGGGACGGAGACCACCTACCGGCTTCTTCCCCACGATGAGCTTCTCCACCTTCTGCACCTGCGACACATGGTCCTCGTTGGTCTCCAGCTCCCGCTTCCGGATCCGCTCGTAGATCCCGATCAGCATCTCCCGGGGGATGTCCTCCCCGTCGTCCACGCCTGGTAGGGGACAGCGGCAGGGCTCACCCCAAGGCACCGGCTTCTAAACCAAATCCGGACAGCGGTCCCCCTGCCAGTCCCCAGCTGAACCAAAGGCCTCCAGACCCACCGCAGCTGGCCCTGCCCCACCCACCACACGTGTGCTCGGAGCCCCCGCACCAGGGACCAGGCTGGCACTGCCCCCGGATGAGTGTGGAGGGGCCTGTGCCACCTTGCAGCCACGCCCAGGGGGCTCAGCACACACAGCCCCGCTCAATCCCGGCCGCCGCCCCGTGGGGCAGGCACCACAGTCCCCATTGCACCGACGGGCTGGCAGGGGCCTGGGGATGGGGCTGGGGTGCAGGGAGGCTGTGCGGATGGGGCTGCCCGGCCCGCATCCTCACTTTGCCCCTTGTCGGCCTGACTCATGGTCTCTCTGAGCTACGAGTCCTCTCCTCAGTGACACAGGCCGCCAAGAGCATGGTGACTTTACAGGGACCAGGGCAGCTCACGGGGCCACCCTCACACCCCCGACACGAGAGCTCAGGGGGTCTGAGTGGCTGCTGTCCCAGTTCTGGGACTTGAAGCCGGGTCGCTCTGACAACAAGCTTGCGCCCTTTCTGCTGCACGGCCCCAAAAGTGCTGTCAGGAAGTCCCAGCCCCGCTCACACCAGAGACGCGAAGCCCCCCCCCCAGTGTGCAGGCTGCTGGCGGTACGTGAGGCAGTGGGACGGCTCAAGCCCTCTGGTGGGCTGTCCGGCACCACCTGCCAGTCAGAAATTCAAACACCCTTGGGCCCACTGAGTGGATCTGGGGGATTTGTCCTGTGGGGCGTGACACTCAACGCAGCGCTGCTTCCAAATCGCAGAAAACGGGAGCTAACCCATTTGCACACTCACAGGGGACTGGCTAAGCGGTCTGCATACGAGGACTCCTGCGACAGGGATTACTGTACACCCGCAGGAACGAGGAAGGCCACGGCAAGCCTTGGCAACAGCCCTTAGATTTACTGAACCAAAGAGTGAGGCGCCGAGCGGAAGAGGGTCAAACCAGCCGTGCACATTTGTACCGGCTCCCACGAGAAGCTCTGTCTGGCACAGCAGGGACTCAAAGCCGATGACCTCCAGGGATGGGAAGGGCCCTGCTGTGCACCTTTTATGCTTTCTGGCTTTTTTCTAATTGGCTATTTTTTCAGAGCAGTTTTAAGGTCATAGCAAAATTCAGGGGAAAGCACAGAGAGCTCCCATATACCCCCAGCTCCCCGACAATCAGCACCCCGACCAGAACGCTGCCTTCGTTACAACTGAAGAACCTACCCAGTCACCAGAGTCCACGGTTCACACGAGGGTTCACTCTTGGTGTTGTCCATCCTATGGGTCTGGACATATGGACGAGGCCATGTGTCTGCCATTATAATACCGTACAGAATTTTCACTGCCCTAAAACCCCCTCTGTGCTTCTCCTTTTCATCCCTCCCCCACGACCACCGGCGACCACTGGTCTCTTGACCGCCTCCGCAGCTTCGCCTCCTGCAGAATGTGGCGCAGCTGGAATCAGGGTGCAGGCTTTCAGATAGGTTGCTTTCACTTAGCGATGTTCCTTTAAGGTTCCCCCCGTGTCTTTTCATGACTTGGTAGCTCATTTCTTTCCAGTGCTGAATAATATCCCACTGTCTGTATGGACCAAGGTTTACCCATTCATCTACGGAAGGACAGCTTGGTTGCGTCCTAGTTTTGCTGAATACGAATAAAGCTGCTATAAACATCCGTGTGCAGGTTTCTGTGTGGACGTAAGTTTTCAGCTCATTTGGGTAAATTCCAAGGAGGGCAACTGCTGGGTCATGTTACTTCCTGGTTTTTGAACTATGTGAGGATAGGACCCATTCAAAATATACATTTAAAAAATCTGAAGGCAAATAGCAATAAAAGCAAAATACCGCTTGCCTGGCTTCCAGGGTCCTCCCCTGCCTATCCCTGACCTCCCGGAGGCCCCCCCTGCTGCTGGACCCGCCCGACACACTGAGCGATTCCAGAGAAAATGTGTGTCCGGTGCATGTTGGGGCAGGGGGGCACTCTCTAAAAAGAACAAGCTGGGACGTGTGCTCAGCGCAGAGTGCCGACCTGGCTTTGGGAGGCCAGCGTCCTGCCTCCTCTGACACACACTTGCTGTGTGACCTTGGGCAAGTCCCCTCCCTCTCTGAACCTTCTGAAGCTCAAGGAAGATGGGGCAGAGAACGCTAGAGTCCCTGGCTTGAAGAAAACAGGTGATTGGTGGCAACAGCCCAGGCTCGCAAGAAAGAATCAGTGGCTTCCTCTCCTGGTTCTGGGGTGCTCAGCCCCTGCCCTGGGAACTGGGGCGACAAAGCCCCCCCTCCCCCAGACTGCCGGGATGGCGGATGCAAGATGCGCACAAACCATGAAGCCGCAGATATGAGGGCGGCCGACCGGCAGGTATTTGACCCAGCAGCCCTGTCTTCCCCCGAGCCTCTGTCCACGGGCCTCATTTCTGTCTCATTTCTCACACAGGAGAGGCCCCAGTTACATGGCTGAGCTGCTAAACCAGAGAAAAAAATCAGAGTCCCTTAAGCTCCCCAGGGTCGCCAACAGCACGCAGCTCACGGCCAGCTTTCCCGGCAGCTACACAGCAACCGCCTGCATCCAGGGCCACGGAGACGCCGTGGAGACCAGACCAGACTAGGCCCAGCGAGGAGAGGGGCTTGAGGTGGCAGAGAGGAGGGGAGGGGGTGCAGCCCCCCGGACCATCAGTGTCCACTGACCGCCCTGCTCCCTCACCTGTTCTGGCGACTGGATCTCTTATCAACGAGGTTCCTAGGAACCACAGCTAAGACCTGCCCCTCCCCGGGGCCTACGGAGGGCCGCACGGGGAGGGCCCTGAGCCCAGCTCCCTGCGGGACCGCCTGTCAGGGTGGGGCCCACCCCCAGGGAGCGCCAGCACAGACCCTCCGCTCTGGGGGACGCGACGACGGAGCAGTTTTACAGAAATGAAGGACAAAATGAGAAATTTAAACAGCTCGAAAAGTTGGACTTGATTCAGATCAGTTGTTTCCCTTTTATAAAATTATGATGCCATTTCTAAAGGGACTTCAGTCCCTTACAGCTGTTTCCCAAGGACAGGGACAGTCCCCCAGCCCGGCACTCCACGGACAGGAGGGACCTGCCAGCAGCAAACATGGAGACAGCCGTTCCCTTTTCCATCCCTCTCCTGCCTGGCGACACAGGAGGAAGCCTCCGTCTGGCTGCCCAGCCCCTGGTCACCTGCCCTACATGGGCCCACCTGCCAGGGAGGAGAGGGCAGCCTCGGGCCCTGGGCCCAGCCAGGAACAGCTTGGCTGGAACCCACAGTGGTTTTGCCTTTTCACGGCACTCGTTTTCGTAAATGATGCCCACGTGTGACAAATGCTACCGGTTTCCCGCTTACACTGATGACATAAAATTCCTTTTAAAAATACATACGTTTCATAAGAAGACAAAACCAAAAAGACAAGTCTGTTCCAAGAGAACAACTGAGGGAGGGGTATGGTGGGCGATGCTGTGTGGGCAGCAGTGATGGGGGCAGGACAGTGCCAGCCCCTGCCCGGCCCCCATCCCGTCCCCACCCCCCGTGCTCGGAGGCCCCGGGGCGCCCAGCACCCAGCTTGTGGTCCATCCTCCCTCTGCCCCTGCAACCAGGCCTGGATCCACCGTGTGCGGCCCGGCCCCGGGCGTTGAGCCCAGCTGCGCTCTCAGGCCTCTGCCCTCTGGCGCCCTGGGCCTGCGGAGCCCTGCAGTCCTCTGAGACAACACGCCGCCTCCCCCTCGGAGTGCCCCCACCACAGCATTCAGCACCCTCTACGGGAACTTGCACTGCGTGGGCTCCTTTGGGAAGGAGCCCCACCCCTCCCCACGTGAGGCCGCGCTGCGCGCACCTCTGTCAGGTGCGTGCTGGCGGGGAGGGGGCGGGCGTCCCGCCGCAGCCAGGGCAGCTCACCTCGGAGGTTCTTGACGAAGTCCTCTAACTTCATCTTGCGCTCGGGCTTGACATTGGGGCTGTACATGTCGGTGTTGAGCAGAATGATGGCAAAAGCCAGGATGAAGATGGTGTCTGGGTTCCGGAACTGCCGCACCACCCCGGGGTTGCAGATGCAGTACCGCTGGCTGGGGGACGACGGGGTGGTGCTTCAGCCAGGGCAGGAGGCCAGTCCGCCCCTCACCCATGAGCGGCCCTAAACAGCTGAAGCTGGTCACTGACCTCGGAGCCTCCGTCTTTGGTACACGGGAATGTCGCCTGTCTGGCAGAGCCGGCCCTGACCGTCCACTCACCACCCCCCCACCATGTGAGTTAAGTCCCACCCGCCCGTAGTTCGGCCGGCATGTGGCTGCTCAGGGCCAAGGACCACGTCCCTCGGCCCCCGCGCAGCCACGTGCTAAGTTCTGGCCAATGCGATGTGGGCACCTTCGAGGCTGTGCCTTAAAGGCAGGGGGTGCCCTGCGTGCTCTCTGCCTGCCTGGAACGTGAATGTGATGGGTGTTGAATCTGCTCCCGGGGACCTCAGATGACAGGAGCCCAGGCCTCCTCCACGCCAGCTCAGAGGGCGGCCCACTTCCGGGGCGTTTCAGCCACGGCAGCTGTGGCGGACGTCTTTGCTGCGGCAGCCGAACTAACAGCCTCGCTACAAACTGCCTCACAGAGTCATTTGCTCACGTCCTCACTGCCTTGAATACGCCCCACACCCCACACCCCACAGTTCCCTCCACTGGCGACCTTGTGCAGGGGTAGGTGGGTGGGGCAGGGATGGAGAAGAGGAACTGGGTGGGGCACCGTGACCGTGACCAAGGTCCACAACCCGCAGGCAGCAGCCATGGGCGCTTAGACGATGTGGGCTTCAATTTCGTCTTCCCTGTTAAGTGCCGCCCCCTCCAGGAAGCCCTCCTGAATGGAAGTGTCTGAACGCTCCCCTCCCAGGGCCCGGGGTTCCTCCTCCTGCGACCTTGCTCCTCTGTGAACCCACCACCCCTGCTGAGCCCAGAGGGCTGGGTCTCCCACACCCAGCGCAGGGCACGGACTCCCTACACGGCCAGTGTGCACACCATCCCAGCATGGAAGGTGGCGCAAGGACAGCCTGCCTTGACTGCAAGCTCTCTGGGGGGCCAGGCGCTGGGCAGAGTGCACCCACACGGCCTGAGTGGTTTAATCCTTCCACCCCCTCCAGGGTAGGTGCGTTCATCAACCCTTCTCTACTGGCAAGTACGTGAGGCACAGAGAGGTTAAGTAACCAGAGCAAGGTCACACAGTGGTGCAGGTGTCAGAACCACGCCCTCTGCGTCACTGAGGGAGCATCTGCCCCTGTGAATGAGCAGACGAGTGATGACACAGATGGACTCACGAACCAGTGGGGACGAGAGGACCACGAAGACGTTCGAGGCCCTGGCTCCAGCACTGAGCCGCACAGCACGTGTTAGAGGAGGGGCTGCCGCCCCCCGCACCCCCGTCCCCTGATGGCTCATGGCCACCTGACCCTGAAGGGGGGGTCTGCCCTTGAGCCTCGGTCTTTGAGCGGGGACGCTTTTTCTACCTGACACCTGCCCCGCCCCCACCTGAAGGCCTCGATCAGCCGCTCCACCTTCTGGGCCTCCCCCTGGACCCGGATGTGCGCCTGGAACTTCCGGAGAGCCTCGTCCAGCTCCATGGCGGAGAAGTCCATCTCGTCCACCACACAGCTGAAACGAGAGGAGAAGGCCCCGTCAGTGTCCCCTGCCCACCTTCCCGCCGGGTGCAGAGGCAAGCACGGCCCGCGGAGGGCAGAGGGGGCACAAGGGGTCAGCGCAGGGAGGCCCGAGAGGGAGGGCGGCCGGAGTGGGCTCCCTTCTCCACAGGAGGAGATGGAGGTCTGGGCACCCACTGGCCCTGCAGCCACCGCGCCCTGGGCCTGCCCCTCACGTCAACGCTTTCCCGGGCATTTCTGCGGGGCCTCTGGAGGCGCTGTGCTGCCCTCACCTGCCGATCCCACAAGGAGGGCAGAGCTGGGGAGGCTGCAGGTCACAGGTACCTCTTATCACAGCCCCGCCCCCAGCACAGCCTGCTCCTGCCTCTGACCATGACCCCGAACAGTAGATGGGTCTGCAACAGGGACCCTCGCCTGACCACCCCCGGTGGGGCTGCAGAGACCCCGGCCGTGGGCCCCTCTCCCCTGGGGCGACGCTCTGAGCACTCAAGGCTGTTGGGGCAGGGTGAGGGCAGGGGCCCGCAGGACAATTCGTTGACCAGCATCCGAGTAGGGATGCCTGGGGGGGCGGGTCTCGCTGCTTCCTGAGGCCGCTGCTATTTTCTGATCCGAGGAGAACAATGTGCGGATTTCCTACGGACTCACGAGCAGCTCGGAGGGGGTGTGGGGGGAGAGCACGGGTGGCTGCAGGGGAGGGGGCCAGACCACATGGTCTTGGGCCCCATTCACGGAGCAGCTAGCATGCTCTCCTCGGACGGTTCCTCCCGGATTTCGAAGGGGGAGGGGCACCAGCCACACTATGAGGGCGGGGCCAGAACAGAATGGCAGGGCTGGGAGAGAGCAGCCCAGGCGGGACAGATGCCACAGCCAGCCACAGGCCAGGCACCGCCAGCGGCTCGCTGCCTCTCCGGTGTGTGTGTCTGTGTGACTGAGTGAACACTAGTGTACATATATGTGTGTGCACGTGGGTGTGTCTGTATGGGGGGGCACCCAGGCCAGACCCCCCGCCCCTCCCCGAGCCTGGGTCTGCTCACCTGTGAAACAGAGAGGCCGCAGCCCACGCCCCACTCCTCCCAGGGGCGCCCGGAGGCGGCAGGTGTGTGTGGCCAGGCCACCCTGCCGTTTTTGCTGAGGGTCAGTCTTTACCCTGCTCTGATCCCGTTCCTGGCCCACCGGCTGGGTCACCCATCCGCGTGCAGTGTCTGGGTCGGCAATGTGCCCACGGCAGGCCTGGAGCTGCACCCCCAGGTCCCGACAAAGGGGAGCAGGGCACCTGTTCCAAGCCGGCCTCCTGCTGGCCCTGGCTCCTTGTCTGCGGAAGGGGTTATGGACCCCTGACACCCCCGCGGACGACGTGAGGACACAGCCCGCACGTAGCACCTGCCCAGTGACCACAGGACCCAGGTGTGGTGGCTTTCTACTTGGGACAGTCTGGAGGAGGACCGGGGGTGCAGGGTACGTGTGGGCAGAACTTCTCAAAGCTGTCAGCAGTTCCCAGGGGGCTGGAAACCTGTTCTTCTGCAGGGTTCCAAGTAGCTGAGAGTCTATGGCCGCCAGCCTGGTGGGACGCTCACCCCATCTCCCGCCAGGAGAGGGAGGAGGAGGGGGGCTGAGCCCCCCGGTTCCCCTCCTGCTGCCCCTGCGGGAGGTTGGCAGGGCATCTCCCTGTGTCTGGGAGTCAGAAAGACAAAGGGGAGCGGGGCACCCGCAGCGCCACTCACTCGAGCACGTCGCGGTTGAACTGCTTCTGCCGGTTGCCCAGGAACTCCCCGATCATCTGCCGGCTCAGGCCCTTGCGCTGCAGCAGGAAGTGGGCCACCCCCACCGGCGTGTCAGGCACGAAGCCGCGCTCGATGAGGTACTGGACGCCCTTCTCGGGCTTCCTGGGGGACAAGAGATGGGCTCAGCCGGGCGCTCCCACCCCTCCAGCTCCCCCAGCCCTCATTCCCTCCTCCTCCACGGCACCCTGTCCTGCCCCACCCTCAGCCCACAACGCAGGGGAACCGGGATGGCTTGGGCCCTGCAGGAGGGCTGGGCCAGCGCAGGAACACGGAGGGTGCCGGGGGCTGGGGGGGGGGGGCACAGAAGGGCCCCACCCCTCCCCGCTCCGTGGTCCCCTCTGTGCCGAGCTTCCAGGCAGGCTGGAGGGCCCCGCCCAGCACACGCTGGCCGCCTGTGGCACGTGCTCCGTGCCGTCACCGTCTGAGGACCCTGCACACCAACTCAGTCCCCACACGACTCCCTGGGGTTGGCACGCTTGTCACCTGTGCTGCCCGACAGCCATGTGACCTTGCTGGGGACTCGAGTGCCCGTGTCGTGAGACTTGTGTGTTAACACAGTCGGGCGCCTGGAACGCTGCACGCAGTAGGTGAGCAACGCCCGGAACGCTGCACGCAGTAGGTGAGCACCGGGAAGGTTTAGGATAAACCTCAACGGACGGCAGAGGACATGGAGGCGCAGTGCCGGCCCCACCTGCAGTCAGAGGCCTGAGGCGGGGCTGTGCCGGCCCCACGGGGCTGAGCATCCACCCAGACCAGGAGCCCGGGGGCCGGGGCGCCCTCAGGGGCTGAGCAGTGAGCCAGCAGGTCCCTTCTTCCCGTCGGCCTCGGGGCCTGGTACCGGCTCAGCTGACCTCACAGGGAGGCAGTGGTCGAAAGAGACAGGGCAGGGGGAGGCGCCACTGACCCCTCCCTCTGCACCTGTGACCCTCGGAGGGCGGTGTCCTCCTCTGACGAACCCGGAGCTGCGGAGCCCTTGGGTATACCCGGCACCCCACGCCTTGCCCCAGTGGTAGAAGTCAGTGTCCTGCTGACCCCTGGGGGCGTGGAGGTGAGGGCCAGGATCCACCTGCCACCACCAGACGTGCGCTGACAGCGGGTCCCGCAGATGCCGTATTTCCACACGCAGGCCGACCTCCAGCCTCAAGATGACCCTGCTATTTTTATCCCAGGTGGCCACACACCCCAACCTTGCGCCCAAGAGCTGGGCAGGGAGCGACTGCCGGCCGCCTGGGTCCTGGCACAGAAGTGGTCACCGAGTGGCCCCGTTCCCCCCACATCCCCGTCCCTCCCGGCAACCCTGGGGTCTCCACCCAAGAACCGCCCCAGCCCCAGGCTCTCCAGGCACTGGGCTACTGGTGCTGATACAGCACCGGGGGTGGGGTTGGGGGTGGGGCGGGTCGCGCTTCCTCACCGCCAGCTCCACAGCGGCCCCCGCAGGACCCCAGCCCATACCTGACCGCCCCCCACTTCCACAGTAGCCCACAGATGTGTTTTCTTCGGCCCACACGACGTTAACAGAATTCCAGTTGGTCGCCAATGTTTAGAAACCGGGAGCTTGGATTTCCGGCTTCTCTTGAGAAGACAGCGTGGCAGCCCCCGGCCTGGCTCCCATGTGAAAGTGACTGGAGAGCCCCGTCTCGGGCGCCCTTGTCACCCACCCGGGCCAGCCTGGCCCACCGAGGCCCTGACACCATGCCTGGTCCAGCCCAGCCTCGTCCTGCCGCCCTGGGGTGGCTGCTCCCCTCTCCGCCCCAGCTGCTCCTGCCTGTGTTCACAGGCCAATGGCATGCAGCCTCACAGCTGCCAGGCCCACCCTCAGGGCCCACAGCCTTGTGGGAGGGGCAGGCTGCGCAGGGGCCGTAGGATGAGGACTCCCCACGGCCTAAGTGCCGCATGCCGACTCTGTGCCGGGCGGCACTCTGGATGACAGCGGCGAGCATGGCTGGCCTCGAACGCCCGGCACGACAGCTGCCACCGCCCAGTCTGAAGGGCAAAGTGGCCGAGCGAGGGTGGGAGGGGTTCTGGCAGGGGAGGCAGAGGCCTTCTCTGAGCAGGTGACACAGTGACAAGAGCGCTCAAGGAGCTTTTTGGTGGAGGCAATGGCGAATGCAAAGGCCCTGAGGTGGGAGTGGGTTTTGTAGGCTCGAGGCCATGAGGCTGCTCCAGGGCTCAGAGTAGGGCCCTGGGGGCGGGGCAGCGGGGTGGACAGGCCGCAGGGGCATCTGGCTCTCCTCTGAGTGGGATGGGAAGCCTGGCATGCTCTGAACAGGGCAGTGGAGGGACCTGGGTGCCCGTTTAAGAAGCCGCCTCTGGCTGTTCTACGGGAGCCCAGGTAGGAGACCCTCGCAGGCACCCCAGCACTGGTGCAGGAGTGGGGGAGGAGTGGCGGGCTCAGGACACCGTCTGGGGGCAGCGATCACAATATATGCTAGTGAACCCGCGTGTGAGCCCGAGGGCTCCAGCTCTCAGCCCGAGGCCAACGGGGCAGGAGCCGCATCCACCTGGCACCCTTCACAAGATGCTGCAGGAGAGGAATGTGGACTGACCAGGCCACGACCAGAGACCAGGGGCTCCCAGCAAACTGAGAGGAAAGGTGCTGCGGCCGGAGGTACAGGCAGGGGTTCGGGCGGGGGCTCCAGGCTCGGGATGCGCGCGGCCGGCAAGGGGAGTGATCTCCCTGACCGTGGAGAGCCAGCACTGATGTGAGTCCCTGGCCCGCAGGATCTTGCTGGCCCCCAGCTGCCCCACGTGTACTCCGTGGGCCCTGCTGGGCAGGGGTCCTGGGTCCACTGGCCCCTCACAGGGCTCTGTGCTGACCGGAGCAGCCCAGATGCCCTGCGTGGGTAAGTCACACACTCGGTCTGCTGCTCACCCACAGCCCTGCCCACCGCCCTGGGGCAGTGAGGGGCACTGGATGGGCTCGGGCCGAGGCAGGAGGGTAGAAGGCACGTCCTGTGGGGCTCCGAGATCCCCCAGAGCACCCAGGGGGCCCCATGGAAAGGAGCCTCTGCCTGCCTTGTCCCTGAGACACTTGATGAGCGCAGCAGGCCTGGCCAACACGCAGCGGACCCGGCGAGTGAACAGAGAAGTGCACTTCGCAGTGACAGAGCCCACCCGACCTGGCAGACGGGCTCGCCGCCACCCCCAGCAGTGGCTCCCCCTTCCCTGCCTGCGAGCTTTAACGCGGCTCCAGGCCCTCGGGACTGAAGAGGCGCAGCCTGGGGCCCTGCTGACTGTGCACCCTCAGGGGCCAGCGGGGGCCCGGCCCACACAGCGCATGTCCGACCAGAGAAACAGAACGTGCTGTGTCTGGGGCTGGGGTCCACGTGGCTCTGGGAGGGGCTGCTTTGGCCCGTGTTCCCAGGACTCTGCCCTAGAACCTTCAGGGCCTCCCAAGCCTGCAGGACAAGTTCTGGCCCCTCGCCCCTCATCCACTTCTCCATTCACCCCAGGCATCCATCCAGCGCCTGCTCTGGCTGGGTGTGGCACCAGCACACCTGTGGTCTAGACAAAGTCCCTGTCCTTGAACACACATCCTCACTGGAGCGCGATGAACTCCCAGGAGAGACACTCACAGGCATGGCTCAGATCCCAGCTCCGCTCTCTGGCTGGGTGACCTAGGGCAAGTTACTTAACCTCCCTGTGCCTCAGCCTCCCCACCTGGGTGGTGGGGACACTGACAGTGCACACAGCAGAGTCACTGTGCAGATTAAATGAGTTAATGCCTCTAAGCCCTTGGAAAACACGCTGGTTTTATGGCTGTTTAAGAAAAGGGTCAGCACTAGGGCAGAGCTAAACCAAGGGGAAGCCGTAGTGACCACAGAAGGCCTGGACTTCAGATGGATGGGGTGAGAAGGCGCGGTCCAGAAAGGCCTCCTCGGGAAGGTGGCGTTGAACCTGGAGCCAGGAAGGAGGTCCCTGGGGGCGGGAACGACCAACGCGAAAGCCTTACTGGACACGTAACAAAACGGGGCACACCAAGGGGGGAAAGTGGTGCGGGGGTGGTGGTGGGATGAACTGGGAGAGTGGGATTGACACGTATACACTAATATGTATAAAATGGATAACTAACAAGAACCTGCTGTATAAAAAAATAAAATTCAAACAAAAAAACGGGGCACAGAAAGGCGGAGTAGCTGTGCACCAGGCTGTCCAGCGAGGGAGAGCCAGGTTCTTACCCCTTTGCTCGTAGAAGCCCGTAAAGTTCCACTCTATGCTCCCAGCCCAGGGCTGCAAATCTGCTCTGCCCACCTCTGCGCAGCCAGCTCTCCCCATCTCTCCGGGTTCCCCTGACGACTCCTTCTCTAGCTTTCTGACCTCCACCCTCCAGGACCAGCATCAACGAGGTGCAGAGGCGACATTTTCACCATCTACACCTGACGCGCTTCTGCATCCCGGGCCCCCGGGCCTCTGCCCCTCACCCCCACTGCCCGTCCGCTGGGCCTGCGAGCAGCCTCTGCTGTCCCCAGGTCCAGCTTTTCTCGTCGACTGTGCCAGGTGAGCACGTGCAGACCACAGTGGTGCTGCCCTCCTCGCACCTCTGTCCTCGAGCCTGAGCCCGGGGCTCTCGGGAGGCGGTTACTACAAGGCCGGGCTCTGCACCTAAGGACCACCCACCTGCCGGAACCCCTCTCCTCCCAGCAGGGTCTGCAGGGGCCACAACGGCTCCTCCTGTCACTTTCACTTGCTATAGCAGCTGAAGAGACATGGACGTGGGCGTCTGCCCGGCACCCTGTTGGCCTCTGGATTTCCCACACCCGCCTCGAGCTCCGCCCCCTGATCCCACGGGCTGCCCGTACTCCCAGCCTGGACGGTCAGAGTGCTGCACCCCGCTGACCACGGCGAGCGGTTCAGAGGGCGCCGGCGGGAGCCTCTCTTCCTGCAGGGCTGCCATGAGGCTGGACCACGAGCCCGGACTACTGGCTGCCCTCCTGCCCTGAGGGCGCGATGGTGGGGCACGGCCAAGAGATGCCCAGTGGCTTTTCAGGTACACGAACCAGTAAGGCCCCCTCTGCTTGAACCAGTTTGATCAGATGCCCATCACTTCCAATGAAGAAGGGCCTGATGCACACTGAGACCAGCACGGGGTCTGCACAGACACC